CAAAATCTTTCTGAAAAACCAAAAGTTAATATATAAGTAATATACATAAAATTAGACTGTGTTCCAAGCAGTAAACCACTTCTCAGTACTCTTGGTTCCAAGAGGAACATTAGATTAAAATTTCCCGTTTGAAGTCAAAGGAACTTAAAAGTGATTAACTTTGGCCAGCTCTTTTCTTTACATATATAAAGACATTTACATATGTAAACATTAATATTTATCTAAACATAATGTTCATTGTGCATGTGCATATACAGAGCCAATATTTTTGAAACCCCAAAAATTTGATGACTTCATCTGAATTAATGAAAAGCACCAATCAAACATTATCAGTAACAGACCCAACCAGTAAAAATTAGAACAGTTTTGGCAATGCAATCCTATATATGCTAACTCAGAAGTAAGGCCTAATGTGGATGATGGGCTTACTCACAGATAGTCATGTGGCGAATTAGAACCAAATTTCAGTAAAGGATTTAATCACTTTAAAATTTCCCCTACTGAAATTAGTGGGACTTCTGAACTGACTGAACAAAATTACACTCTAAACCCAGTGATATCAATGAGGCAAGTTTCCCTGATTAAGTTTTCTGATTGAAATCAATGGGGCTTAAGCAGACCTAATTTTCACCTACAGGAACCTAGAACCAATGGCAGGGTGCTCCATCCCTTTCTTGCCTTTTGTTTTTACTTTGATAAGTGGGCTGGTGCATATATGAAAAATGAGAGTTTATCATAGCCATACTGCAGAGAACTTAAAGGAAAACAAAGGATTACAATTAATCTCTGTAAATACAACCGGATAAATCTCCCTATGTTTAATATGGCTAAAATGACTGAAGCAAAACATTTCCATCACAAAGTTCAATGTTCCTGGTAAATTAAAATAGGTAAATCTAGGTGTAAGGAAGGAAAATATTTCAGTATGCATTCAACATATACATTTCATGTGCCACATTTATATTTAATCTGTTTCTTCACATTAAGACAGTTTAGAAACAGTTTAGATCGTCTATTGTTTTAAAGGATGAGCTTCAGAGTCCCAGATTCAATTTTTACTACCCTCTTCTGTAATGTGGCAATAATAAAGCCAATCTACCTTACAGCTATGCACTTGAATGCTTTGAGAACGTACGGAACACATTATGTAAGGACTCGATATAATTAACAGGAAACATACTTTATTTGAAATCAAATTTTGCAAAAAGCACCTGCTTCCCCAGAAAATGAGTTTCCCAAAGCAATGAACAATGTTGCTTCACTTAGCCTGTACTATATAGCGGGAGCCAAAGCTTTCCTGCACCACCAAGGAGAACATTTTTGCATATCAATAGACTGATTTTGTATCAACAAATCCTAAAAAGATAAAATGTAATGAAACTAAAGGACATACATACAGACACTGCACTCTGTGGGAGGATACACATGTACTCACTTTCCTAATACAGAAACTGGAAAAACATATTGACTAAAATGAGTACATTCCAAATTCTGTAACAACTTTATATTATACAGTGCCCTTCTACATAACCTGAAGGTGTCAAAAATAAGGGTCTTTGCCGGCATGATACTTAACTCTGGTTTGCTTTCACAGTTAACTATTACTTCTCAGCACTAAAGTCCTAGAATAAGGATTAATGACAAACTATGATATAAAATCAACTATGTGTGATGAATTCTGCATCAACCAAGCTAATTTAAGTATTGTATCTGAACCCAGAAAAACTATGCTTAATCCAGTTCTCTGTTATTCCTACTTTCATTGTTTTTAGAGTATCAAGTTGGTCTTGTTGATACCCCTTTACTATTTTTCCCTATGACCAATTGGACTAGAACCTAAGACGTACCCACTATGTTTACCTTCTACTGTGTAAGGTAAACCCATCATCATTTCAATAAAAGAATCTGGAATCAGAACGTAAGTGTTCAGCTTCACAACTTCTGAAACGAAGTTGCTACTTCTGTTCATTTTAATTGCTTCTCAAATCCCCAGGTGTATGCAGTGTAGAGCTGGAAATACCAGGAGACTTTTACAAAGCCACTGACGGGGAACAATACTGGGCTACACTGACCAATGATGTGTGAGTATATGCCAAGTTACACTGTAACCAAAGTTCGCAAAGCTCTTTTGAATGAAAAACACTTTGAATGTTTAATGCATGGAAGTCGAACATTCGTAGTAAAGACATTTCTCTATCCTGTCAACAGCAGCTGAATATTCTGCCTCCAGGAAATGGGAAAGGAAATGTTCTGCCACAACCACTGATCCCAGCCCAGAGAGCAACCAAAGACAACAAGACTTCTACAACTTTTAATTCAATGAAGCTAATGCCAGAGAATTTCGAGTGCCAGACACTCCTATATTATCTATGTTAAAACAACCTCCAAACAAACTGAAGTTAGCCCACTCCATCCATCTCCATTCCTTGTGCATGATATCCCCTTTTGTTGTAGTCCCAGAAAAGCAACAACCATATGAAACTTGTGGTTGGTCACCGCTTAGCGTAGGCAGTTTGACTCCATAGCCTTTTTCCAAATGTGTCCAAGTTTTGGGAGCCCTGTTTACATTGATCACTCACAAAATAAACACAGTGCGGCATGAAGAATTCTCTGATCCAAAGAGATGGTTTAATCTTATATGGCCCTGTGCATGCTGACAAAGCAGAACAACCAACATGTATACATCATGTCTGTCTCTTTGGCCTACCTACATTTAATGGCACAATTCTCCCGGAAAGGACATGGGTAGCACTTCCTGATTCCTATTAAGAGGAATTGTTCCATTGTGTCCACCCCAACAAAACAGATAATTCAACTCCAGCAATGAAAATGCCATGTACCATCTGCAGTGCATACTTGGGTGTCTGTACATAAAGACACACATCACACAGGTGAATGCCAGAAAACTGTTTGGAACAGTGTAGTCAAGTTATGCAGTACTCCTCAAAGAGCATAATAAAATCAACAGTCTGTCACTGATCTGCTGTGCCCTTCGTTGGCACTTTTACAGCACCTGCTGAAATGCTCTTAAGTTTCTGCCTTGCCCATTCTTATTTCTGTACATAAACAAATCACAAACTAGTACAGTACCACTGCATCATACGTCACTTTCCTCTACCCTACTTCATTCAGATATTTTAAGCAAGCAAGCAAGCAAGCAAGCAAGCAAAGCATAAAAGGCTAGATTTGCTTACTGAGAATTCTCAAAAAGCTGGAGAGTATTCTGAATGGCAAAGAGCAGACTTACTCTTTGTCACTAAAAAAAAGGTTGCAAATGGTTGGAAGGGACAGGCTATGTGAAGCATCCACACCTTCAGCATTTAAGACTCATATTGCTTTAACTCAGAATTAAGCAAATTTTGTAAAATGTGAAAAATTACTTGTTGAAAATGTTTAAAATACCACTCTCATATTTCCAGTTTAACCCCAAAACATGACAGTAAGAACACTGCAGTCTTTCATCTATATATACAACACACACACCCATCCTGTTTTTTTCTGTCTCTTACCACCCGCTCCAGCTGGTACCTCCTTCTTTCTCCCAGCCCCTTTGCTGCTCTAATCCATGTCAAAAATATTCAAAATACTACAAGGCCATTCATTACTGCAGAATCCCAGAGAGATGCAAATTAATGAAACATGCCACATAACAGCATAATTTGCCCTGAATATTTAGATTTTACACAGCAGTACAGCCTGATCTTACAACAACTCTATTTTTTTTTTCTTACAGAAAGAAAAATATATCATGCTAGCTGCCATTTTCAGCTAGATTTACCAAAATCTTGCTTATATATAGATGGGAAAGTTCTTTAACACATCTCTTAAGGTCTTCCTGAATATGCCTAATGTGTTACACGTATTCTGTATGCATAAAGGTGAGTGGCACTTAAACTCATTTCAAATTTTACTGGAGCAAATCACACTACCCATTCAATGCCCAAACAGCTTTTGACAAACATTGGCTGGATTTGTGTTTTGCAAAATCAGTACTTGGAACCCAGATTGGATTCATTTTGAGACAAACGTGTAATGCCTACAAATATCTCGCTAATAAGTTACCTTTTTTTCCACAGCAAAAATGTGCCACAAGGGGCAAATCTTTATTGTCCAAAGTGATTCTGTTGATATGGTATGGTATGTGATGCTCAAAAGAGGCCTAGAAATTTATCCATGAAGTCTGCATTATCGTTGATCTTAGAGTAGTAAGCATGCCATGGAAAGAAAGGTGTGGAAAGCCAGTCAGAATGCCGTAATGTCAACACTGCAAAGCCTCAATAGACACCTATTTGGAAGCCTTCTACCATACAACAATGGGAAGCACGTAGTACTTTATGGCACACTGTAAATTAAGTGAATGAGGACCTACAGGGTATTGGCTTTGTTTGTTTTTGTTTTAGTTTTAAGTCATCTTGTAAAAGGTATGTTTTTGTGAAGATACAAGAAAGAGGCCAAGTAATAAAGAGGTAGTGAAGAGGCCTCCTCAATTCCTTAAGTTTCCAACACAACTAAACAAGTGCCAAATGTTACATTTAATTACATTGTGCTCTCTCTATATCCCCAGTCCAACTTTTATTATTATTTGATTCAGGTTTCACATTTTCAGCTATTTGATCCCGTGATGGCTTGCTTAACTATGTACTGTCAAACCACCTTAAAATTTAGGAGGTGATTAGATGCTTTACTGTAACAGATGTGCAGCCTTCTGGGGTTCTGTGCTTTTCTTTTCCAAATGTAACATCATCTTGCAAAATCAGCAGGAATGATTAACTCAGTACAACCAAATTTAATAGCAAAGGCAAACAAAGATCACTTACTACCACAACTTGCCTGAATAGCTTTATACAGATGCTCTGAAACTATTACGTGACAATTGACTTATATAAGTCTGAATGCTTCAAGGCACTGACATCAGTAATGCGCGCTTGATTACTGAGAATATGGCTCAGTGAACCATAGAGATGCACAAAAATAACGGAAATAAAAATAGGATTTCCTACCCGTAAGAGAGACTGAGATTCATCCTTCGACTTGTTATCACCAGATCCAGGATATGGCTGAGGGAGTGGTCCTGACTTCTCTCCGCTTCCTTGGGGCGTCCCCTGCAGGAACCCCTTTGTCTCAACAGGCAAGCCATAAACAGGCCGTGCAAGATGGGCAGCTTCTACATTTGGACTATCCCGTAAGGGCTTTGGCTGCTCTTGGCCAACTGACACCGTGGTCAGAAGGCCTAAGCTCGTTTGGGTATACGACGGACTCCCTCTCAAAAGGTCCACTCCTCTCCAAGGTGCACCGCGAAGATCATCGCTGGACCCATCAGGCCAACACTTCTCTTTCAATACTTCTTTCTCATCCAGCTTTTCCCTCTTCACGATACCTTCAGAGATGGGCTCCCCCATTTTGGGATCTGCATTGATCAGGCTATAGACTTTCAGATCAATTTTGGGCTCTTCCTTAAGAACAGCAGCCGCCCCATGGCTATCTTCCCCATTTGCTGTGGTGATGTCCATTTCTTGACAGTGTACAGTGTTGAAGTGCTCCAATAAGGATTGCGTATCAACAGCTGTAAAGCTGCACTGACGGCATTTGTAACAGTTATGGACTCTCCTGACAGAGAAAGGAAACAGGAAAACATCTATTATAGTAACTTCATCCAGTTAGCTCCAAGTCCTTTTATTTTCTGTAAGATTACAAAAAGAAATGGAAGTGAATAGTCTGCATCCAGTGGCTTCAACCCTTCCAAAAGCAGAATCCATCTTTAACCTCAGATTCAAATATAGTACCTACTTTTCATTATTTATCTTGAATATAAAGTCTGCCATGATTATATTCTAGGCCTGTCTTTGGCTTGCTTTCTCAATTTTCTCTCTGTTCTTCACCTCTTCTTTCCAGACTCTCACGAGTCATTTCTATCAGAGTGCAACCACCAATATGCATGATCTTACCCTAACCCTAAACTACTCTAGCATAATGCCAGTAGTGTAGCAGACACACAGAGCTACCCATGAGATTCCCAAGACAGTCATGCCACTGCTACTATTCAGAAGGAGGTATGTTAGTGCTTGCACCTTTTCCAATACTGCCCTATAGTCTTTCTTTCTCCTTTAGTTTCTGTTCAAAACAATTGTGTGCCATGATTCACCGATAGAAGAGCAAGACCCTAAGACGTGGATCACGTTGTATATTTGTTTGATTTTTACCAGGGAATACAGCACTCAAGACAGTCTACCATCATCAATAAAATCATATTTAAACAATAATAAATAACCTTGTTAAAGCACAATGATCAATACAGCAATGTAATAAAAACAGCACCCAGCTTGCACACCAAAGGCCTAACTGAATATAATGGTCTTTGCCTGCATTGGAAGGACCACAGGCTGGCAGCAGTGAAGCCGTTGTCGCAAGTGAGTTAACTGGTCCCAGTCAATGCTATGGATGCAGCATCCTGCCCCTGCAGAAGTTTCTGAACCATTTTTGAAGGCAGAACCATAGCAGGTGTGTTGTGGTTCTACAAATGGGATGGAGCTAAGACACAGCAATCCATGTTCAGAAGAGACATGTCTAGAAATGGGTGCAATGGGCATGCTAGCCCCAGCTGTACAAGCTTACTCTCAGCCCTCCAGGTTCAAGGCTGAGTTCAGGAGTACACCCAAACAGTGAGCCCAAGTCTTCAGGGAGAGCAGGACTCAATCTAGCAGAGATTAAATCCCTGCTGCACACTTTTATACCCAAGAATTTGTTATGAGCGAAAGTGTTAACATTCTGCTCCATGAAACATCAGATTTAGTAACTGAAATAAAATTAACACATACTATTCTTATTACATTAAATTTATACTGAGCCTTTCTTTCTCCTTCAAGGAACCAAAGGGGACTTACCAGTTTTAACTCCTTTCCATTTTATCCTAGATTTTATCTTCACAACTGCCCTGTGAAGTAGGTTGGGCTGAATTCACAAGACCCAAAGTGACCCAGTGAGCTTCAGAACTGAGAGGGGACAAGGACCCAGGGCACCCATGCCCCAATCCACCATGTCATATTTGCTCCTTAATTAGTATATTGTCTTCTATTTGCAGAACTGGACTAGGCTGCTTTTGTGGAAATCAGAAACTTTTGAAACAACATTTTTGCAACCCTGGATGGAGTGAATACAGCTTGTAAAGCAAAAGAAGTCAATACAGAGATACAGAAAAGAAGGAACATGGAGTGACTAAGGAGCCATGATAACTACTCATGGGTCTCTTTATTACTAGTAATTAAAAGATACTCCATCTTGGCAAATATGTGTATATTTGGCTGGCTGCATTCTATGGCTGCATGTTGGCTGCATTCTATGTCATAGGCTTACTTTAGATGTAAATGACTGAGATTATTTTACCATGATAGGAAGAGTAGACACATTTGTGTAAATGCAGCTATCCAGTGTGAGAGTATATGCTATAAAGTCCGATCTTTTTGACATAAATTTAAAACTGCTGTAAATGAAGAAGAGCTGTATTATTTCAGTCCATTTCTTCCGTTCCCTGAGATCTCAACATGAGACTTTAACATGGAATAAAACAAGGTCTTTCAAGAGGTGAAAAAGCTAATATGGCAGTACGGTAAGATCTAATTTTACAATAATAATTCATTCTTGTTCAAAGAAGTTGCCTAGAAAAAGTATTTTACAGTGAGACATTTGTAAGTTTCAAGGTAAACTAAATAAATCATTAAGATTAGTAGGTCTATTAAGGATTAGTGTAATCCTATGCATGTGTAGACAGAAAAAAACCTACAACTCCTGGCAGGCCCTGGTTCTTTATTCTACTTAAATAGGTATTCTCCAAAACAGAAAATGGGAACCTTTTCTAAACTGTACAAGTTGAAAGTGATAGGTCAGAAGGGCCTGCAGGGATACCAGAAGCCTCAACTGGCACATTCTCCCTCACTGGTTCAACATTATGAATTTAGCAATCCTGTGCTGCCCAATTTCCATCTTTTCTGACTCACTTCTTGACCCTCCTGTCTATAGTTCCGAACCAGTCGTGATTTCTCCTCGATTCCAGCTTCTTCAACACCTTATCTCCAGCCACTGTCTCTTCACATCCTTGCTTTCCAGCTTATTCCTTTGATGCATGACTTTGGTTACCTCACCTTTTGACCAATCTCCTGAGTCCTTCTTTCTTCCCTCTTGCAACCACATAGCTCCTCATGAACACTCCTCCCCAGCCCTTTTTCGGATCAGCTTGTTCATGTCTTCTCAAGATGTCCTCTTCACCTATCATTAGTCCTCTTCAGCAATGAAAACCTGAAGGGGCTTCTGAGAACAAACTGATTAAACCTGCCCCACAGAGACCCATAGGTGATTGGCATCATTCTGCACACAGAGGTCAGGGCACCCTCTGCAACTCCCATCCCTGTATCCGTGTAGGATTTAAAGCAAGGTCTAGGGGGCAGGACCAGGTGATGCATTTTCAGAAGACCTTCTATACATTCAATACTTGTTGGTATTGGGCAGTTGTAGAAGACTAATTGTCCTTTGGTCTTCCTTCCTTGCCCTCTGGGTTGCTCCAGTCCTAGCCTTCCTGATCTGGAAACCCTGAGGTTTTCATCCCATCCAAACTAATTTTCCTTTCTAGCACAGATGATAGAGTAAAAACTATTTTAGTCCTATACAGCGCAAATACGGACTTGTGTGTGTCCATTCGTGTGTGCGAATTTGTGTCTCACAGATAACCACTGGCACATCTGCACATTTATTTTTATTTATTTATTAAAACATTTTTATGCCGCCCCATTCGCCAAAGCCTCGGGGCGGCTTACAACGCGCAAACTAACTACACATGAGCAAATTATATGATTTGTGCATCCTATTTTTATGATAGATATAGTAAATTAGTTGGTAGGTGATTAGTACAAGATAGCCTTCTAATGCATGGATAGCACATAGCCAATTAGTATGAGACCCTTCTAATTCATTTTTGGCAGCCTTGCCAAGAGAGCTTCCACCATGGACATGACACCTCCCAGACCTACACACAGAGAATTTTAACATCTGCAAATATTATTTATTTCCTAAGCTGAACAGTACGCAGTAACGCTACACTCAGCCTTTCTGTGTCAAAAGCTTCACCATCCTAAGTACGTAACAATCTATACCGAGATGTAAATACAGGATTAAGCATGGAAGAAAATAACTTGCAATGGAAGCTGATGCTCTATTACATGGCTAACTCTTTCCATGTTACCTATGAAGTTAGTCCCTGGAAAGGGAAAAGACATTTTATATACACATGATACCATTCAGATAGGAAATTTATAACATTTGGAGAAATAATCATTTTGGTGACAGAATAAGAACCTACATAAGAATTTCTAGAATTGTTTTGTTTAATTAAAAAATTATCTGGAGCAGATGTCAAACAACATTAACATCAGCAATGGAAACAAACAGATACTGACATCAAAAAAAGTTTGTTTGTTTAACAAATGGCAACAGAATATGTGGTAATTACCCAAAGTGATGAAACACACTAGTTTCATAATGATCCATCTACACAGGTAAAAACCACTTACATGACAGAAAAAATGGAATTGTTTCAAGGGGATAATACTTGTAAAGCGTTCTGGAAGCAAAATGTTTTTGTTTTTATGATTAAATGGCAACAAGATTGTGAACTTTTCATACATAGATAGAATACTGTGCAGGAAGGAAACCTTCGATTTTGACTTTCCAAAATAAATATTGCACTGGTCACTGATTGAACAACAAGAAGAAGAAGAACAGATACATCCTATTTGAATTTTACTTCTATTTTATACTGTCATTTTCAACTTTTAAATTTTTATAGTTTTAATTGTTGTGAACCACCCAGAGAACTCCAGCTATTGGGAGGTATAGAAATGTAATAAACAAACAAACAAGCAAGCAAGCACGGAAACCAATTCAGAGCACAGAGAGTTCTCTGGCCTAGAAGTGTTTACTCCAAGGGCAGTTTGTCTTCTGCAAGAAACAAACCATTTTTGTTCTTTCATAGACAGTCTTAAGATTTAAGGAGACTTTCCTTAAAGAAAACAAGAGACTGGATTGTGTGCTAGAATATCACACTGTGCTGTGATACGCAGAAGAAGAGGGGAAAAAAGAAAAGACCGCAGAGAAACTACCTAATATGCAGTCTCCAGCACAGCTGATTTAAGTGTCCCATATACCTCGGAATAACACACATGCCTATTTTCATTCAAGCAGACCATGCAAAGTACTGTATTACTGAACTATGTAAAACATATGTTCCCACATTGGAACAATATGTTGCCAATTTCCTGTGTATGCCATTGAAACAGAACACTTTTTATGAGCTAACATGATACTGTTTTATTAGCATTACAGTAGCGCACAGACTTCCCAGTCAGGATCAGGACCTCAGCATGCAAGACTCTGTATATATATACCCTCTGCCCTTTACCAAAACATGCACAAGTCTGCAAACTCTCATTCAAAAAATATATACAGAGACACACACCTCATGTATTAGGAATTTAGCAAGACTGAGGGACAGCTGTTGAAAAATGCATCACATACAGTATTGTTCCTGTGCAAAACTGATATCCGTGTAAGGAAATAAATAT